CTCACCTGTCTGACCTCTGGTACCTGTCTGACCCGTCTCACCTGTCTCACCTGACTGACCTGTCTGACCCATCTCACCTGTCTGACCCATCTCACCTGTCTGACCTCTGGTACCTGTCTGACCCATCTCACCTGTCTGACCTCTGGTACCTGTCTGACCCGTCTCACCTGTCTCACCTGTCTGACCCATCTCACCTGTCTGACCCATCTCACCTGTCTCACCTGTCTGACCCGTCTCACCTGTCTGACCTGTCTAACTCGTCTCACCTGTCTGACCCGTCTCACCTGTCTGACCCGTCTCACCTGTCTGACCCGTCTCACCTGTTTCACCTGTCTGACCCGTCTCACCTGTCTGACCCATCTCACCTGTCTAACTCGTCTCACCTGTCTGACCCGTCTCACCTGTCTCACCTGTCTGACCCGTCTCACCTGTCTCACCTGTCTCACCTGTTTCACCTGTCTGACCCCTCTCACCTGTCTCACCTGTCTGACCCGTCTCACCTGTCTCACCTGTCTGACCCGTCTCACCTGTCTCACCTGTCTGACCCGTCAGGCTGGAGAACATGGACAACGTGAACAAGCTGTTACTGGTGGACTACACTGGGAACCGCCTGGTGGCGTGCGGCTCCATCTGGCAGGGCGTCTGTCAGTTCCTCAGGCTGGAGGATCTCTTTAAGCTTGGAGAGCCTCATCACCGGAAGGAGCACTACCTGTCCGGAGCCAGAGAGCCTGATGGGATGGCAGGTGAGAGGGGCGGGGCCAACAGAACTTTGATAGACAGACCATGGTTTTCAGGCCTGCAGGGAACAAAATGATCCTGATGATGGTTTTTCACACATTCTGTTGTTTTTGTTTATTTATTTAAAAGAAGAACAAGTCTTTTGTTTGTGACGAGTGTCCATCATGTCTCAAAGTGTCCAAATGCTTGTCTCTGAGAACAGCTGCTCTTTGTTCACTCACAACATACATCTGGAGTCCAGGGCAGCAGCTGCATGTTGGCTCTTCAAAGATTTCATGAGATTTTAGGATTTAAGTGAAATTAGGAGCTAATGAAGCTTCWCGTTCATTAAAACCTCTGACTGAAGTAAGTCCACGGTGACAAAACTGAAGAGTTTCACTGCAATAGAAGCCAAGTCATTCAGCTTCTAAGACCTGTTCATGTGTGTCATCTCAACCACAGACTCCGCCCATAGAGTAACAGCTCCACCTCCCAGAAACAGACTCCGCCCATAGAGTAACAGCTCCACCTCCCAGAAACAGACTCCGCCCATAGAGTAACAGCTCCACCTCTCAGAAACAGACTCCGCCCATATAGTAACAGCTCCACCTTTCAGAAACAGACTCCGCCCATATTATAATAAACTCCGCCTTTCAGAAACAGACTCCACCCATATAATAATAAACTCCACCTCTCAGAAACAGACTCCGCCCATATAAAAATAGCTCCACCTCTCAGAAACAGACTACGCCCATATAATAAACTCCA